TTTTGGTCTTATTTTTTTAGGTATGTTCTTTTTAATAAATATAAATTTTTGAGATTTTAATAAACTAGGACTGAGTACTTATTGTTAAAGTAAAACGATGTTAACTTAAATAAATTTATAGCTATTTATTTATTTCATTTGACCCGCAACCTCGTTATCCGCCACTATTCGATAAAGTTTGTATCTTATTTTATTTGCCACTCCTCTTAGACTTTAAACAACACAATTTTAGTTGCTGGAAATTGCAGGTTTCGATGAAATTTTCTTTTTTCTACTAGGAATATTATTTTCTTCGGGTAATTCATTTGCATTTTATCTCGACGGAGAACAATTTTTATATTGTCGCTTTGAATAGAGAAAGCCTGATTCATTACCTTTCCAATGGTATCCAATTTTTGTAAATAGAGCAAGAAATATTGAACTTATAACGGAGTTTTGTATTTTGAGCAGACTCTCCATCATTTTGCCTGCTGTGTCTAGCATGCAGAGTGGCCGGAAGGATGAAGGAGAGTTTGGGTCCCCTTTGCCCTTGGGTATAAGCACCAGTCTCGCCTTCTTCCATTGGCTTGGGAAAACCCGGGCCCTAAGGCAGCTGTTGTACATGTTAAGCAGAAGATCAGGGCTCGTTTCCGCTGCTAACCTGATTGCCTCCGCTGGTATGCCATCTGGGCCTGGAGCCTTGCCGGCTTTCATGCTTCGCAGGGCTAGCTTCAGCTCGTCTGTCGAAAACAGTGGTGCCTCGGCTTGCTCCTCGACGAACACTGTGTCGGCTCTTAGTGGGTGTGTGGGAAATAGCGCATCCACTATATTCTTAACTCGGGCCTCATCCATCGCCTGTGATGATGTATGGAACTTTTTCATCACTATTTTGTATCCCTGGCCCCAGGGATCGCGATCCACTTCGTCGCATAGCGCTTTCCAGCAGTTCCGTTTGCTCTTCTGTATCTCGGCCCCAAGTGCTTTCTTTGCGCTTTTGTAGGCTGCTGCTCTGGTCAGCGCCTCAGGTCTACCACGAGCGCGCGTTGCGAGTCTCCGCATTCTATGGCAGGCCCTTCGCAGCTCTGCAATTCGGTCATTCCACCAGTATACCTGCTTTTTACCTGACCATGCTCTCCTCTGTGGCATTGAGGTTTTGCATGCCCGGTGAATGCAGCGCATGGTTTCTTCGACCAGCTTAGTACAAGAGTCCCTGTTGTGGATCTCTCCCGTTGTGGGTGAAATACCTTGGGGATCGACCCGGCCTTTGCATGCCGCCTTTTTGTGGCCATACCCCAGACAGCAGAAACACCTTTGGACATCCGCGCGCTCCCGTACGCGGCAGATAATCCAGCCTACTCGCAGCTTCCCCTTTTCAATAAGAATCCGGCCTGGAAGTTCGCCGATTTCCACCACGGCCATTATTTGTTCTCGCGAGTTTACAGCGAGGAGAGAGACGTGAAGTTGGTTGTCTCCTAATTCCCCGCGTAAAGCGTTCTCCACTTTTGGGGCCGTGGTTAGGCAGTCCATGCCCAGAACTTCTAAATGTAAACGTCTAGTGAGAATACGGGCGTCTCCAAGCTGGCCAAATGCACACATTTTACTTAAATGCTGAGTGGTCGCCACAGCGCTCCATTTCGACAAGCACGCCGCTTTCGCGGGTTTTCCGAACAGATCGAATTACGGTCTCGGTCTTCTCGGGTTGTAGCTTACCACGTATCGTTCCCAGCACCTCTGCATAGGTTTTACCTTCAGCTGGCTTAATGATTAATTTGGCGAGACTCTTCTTTTTTCTCACCCTCTTCTTTTTTTTGCGGCTGGTCGTCTCGCCCTTATTGACCAAGGGTTCACCTGGCCGCTGGCCCTGGCTTGGGCTGTCTGCTTTTTCCAACCGTTTTCCGTTGGTACGGTTTTCTGTGCATTATTATCTTTATTACCATTATTATTAATACCATTATTAATAATAATCTTATTACTACTATTATTATTATAGTTAGTATTTTTTTCCTGGGATGCTTTTTGGGAGGCGGCATCTGTTCGCCCGGACACAGGAGATTCATCAAGCATTTCTGATCTTTTAAATCAGGCCCTCGTCTCCTGCCGCTCTTGGTCTGGGACTGCATATTGGTTATTCGCAGCTAACCTACCGGAGTAGGCCGTTCACGATCCGCCCTATGTAACCCCGGTAAGGTCCTGAGCACAGCCCTTACCTAGCCCTTATTATTATTATTATTATTATTATTATTATTATTATTATTATTATTATTATTATTATTATTATTATTATCATTTTGAGCGCGTAGCCATCATTAAAGGCTTTTCCTTTAACATCTAGCAAGTAATTACTTAGTAAATTATTATAAGTTTCAGACAATGATGTTCTTTGTCACAAGATGGTGGTTTGAGAAAAATGCCAAATTCTCCCTACTCTCCATTTTGCTCGGACCAATAACCCAATCCGTTATTATTCTCTATGAACTGCAGACACTCTTCAACATGAGATTTTAGTACTTGAATCTTCAATGAATCTTATATAACGGGTGATTTTTTTGAGGTTAGGATTTTCATGCATTAGTATTTGACAGATCACGTGGGATTTCAGACATGGTGTCAAAGAGAAAGATGCTCAGTATGCTTTGACATTTCATCATGAATAGACTTACTAACGAGCAACGCTTGCAAATCATTGAATTTTATTACCAAAATCAGTGTTCGGTTCG